CATGTAACGCAACCCTCTGTCAAGCACTGCCTATCGTAGAGTCTGTTCCTATTTTCGTGCGTTCCTGATAGAAGGTCGGAAATGCTAGAGCGGAGGAGGCGCTTGGTGGGGTAGTGTGCAATCAAAAGCTTTGAGCCATTTTCAGGCCTTTGAAAACGACGAGTCCGTCGAAACGTCGGCCAGAATAAAGATTCCCACCTAACAACCTCGTGGCAGAAGCAAAATTATCAGTTTCAAGTACTTGAAAGTTGTATTTTTCAAGCACGAAAATAAGCCCAACTTATGTTTATTTCAATAGTTATTTAGTCTGGTTACGTGTCATGAAGTTAAGTGTAGATATGCCCTTGAAGGGGTTTTGAGCGGTTATTATGACAGAACTTTCTAGAATGCCTGAAGCCAGTAGAGTATTTTGATTGGTCTGTTTTTCGAGCTGCTTTCAGATTATTCTTCCAAGAAGGCTTCAAGCTCACTATTTTCACATTTCAAACCAGATGGTCGGCCAGTGGATAATAATCCACTTAACCATTTTCGAACTCCTTCAAAAATTTGAAATCGTATAATAGCTAAGCTGTGCTATACCAATGGGAACAAGGGTACTTACATGGAGGAGGCTATAATATTTAGGTTTGCTAGTGAAAGAGGGCTCTCCAGTTTCTTCGTAACGGTTACCAAAACAGTTACCAAAACGTAGGCAAGCGTTACTATGCAAAAGATCGAGCTCGTGTCTATTGCTCACTACTGCATTCGTCCTTTCGGTAGCAACTCATCATTTGAATACTTCGTACTGCATGTTTATTTCGTCTTTCCAACTGTATTTGAAGTTATTCGCAACGAGGGCTATGAATCACTTTAACTGACATCGAGGCTCAGAGATCACTTCTCCTTAATGATCTTCATGCACTTTGACTGTCTAAAACTGGACTTCTCTCTGATAGTGCTTGTTCTTAACTTACCGGGGCTGGGGATGTGTTGAACTTGATCATGTAATGACTTTGCTTCGATGTAAGTTCAAGGCAAACCTTCGAGTGAGCTGCCCTAGAATTACAAGCTCACCTAATTGCACTTTCGCTCCTGCCCCTCATTACTTNCAAGGTTCGGAAACGTAATGTCGTTTCTTCGAGCGTAGATATCCGAGTCTCCTTCTAACCTCTGCTTTTCTTTATTCAGTTCACGTATCCAACAAAGCAAGGACTGCCCGCTCTCTAGTTGCCCGCTTGTTCTCATCGGGTGAATCTTGTCCCTGACCTCCGTTGAATTGGTTTTTTCTTTCCTTCAGTAATTCACCCCGTCTTGTAATCAGGTGGTGCTTCTCGCACCGACTAACTTTCTTTGCACTTCATATTCAAGGTTTAATCACACAATTTTGAGTACTAAGTTCAAAGAAGATAATTATGAAATATTAGCGACACCTTCTACATGAGAAAAAAAATCGACAGGATTTCTTGGGAACGGATAATTCCAGAAAGTAGCTGTTGAGTCGAAGAAAATGACGGGTTACTAAGAGACTAAAAATTTGTCCCAGTATTGAATTAGCCTGTATCGAACTGACTCACACTCGGAATGCACGAGTAGACCACGTTTACTTTCTAACTACATATCTGTCATCATCGTAAGAAGGTGGCAGAAAGTCGAGTAGAGTAGGTGAAGGAAGGAACAGCGGTAGGTTTATTGTAGAGAATGAGCAATGAACCTATTCCTAACTTAGCTTTCCATTGGTAACACACGAAGCACTTCGACTGTTGAAAGCTAATTATTTTGCACGAGCAATAGACTTCTTCCTGGTGCACGATACGTGGGATAGCAGTGTTCTCCTAGATGGACAAATAGATGACAAGAAGGTTTTTGATTGTCGGCTATGTCAATGTTTCATTTATTTTTGTACAGGCACGTGAGGGCAACCGAATCGCCGCCATCTATAAAGTGGGGAGCGCTTACGAAGAAGCCGTCATATTCGAAATGTTGTTGGTTCTCATGTTCCTGGCTTGCATCATACCAAATGTCGCAGCTGAAGGTTGGTTCTTTTAATTTCTCTTACCTACCTGACCGTGCCCCTGAATAATCTGAGACAGTTCGAGCTTTCTACATTCAAACAGCGAAAAAGAAACACTCGTTTCAGACTAATTCGACCCCCTAGTGCAGGAAATAGTAGAGAAAGTGTATATACTTGCAAATGTGAAATGTCAGTCACTGTTCCACCGCACTCTTTTTTAGCAAATAGTGTTGATGAGCTCTAGGAGCTGACTAGAGCAGTGTTTTGCCTTGCCAGACCCAACCTGTCCAGCCTATTGAAATAATTTATTTGTATAAAATAGAGGTTACAACAACACATTTAATATATCAAGTCGCACATATGTAAGTGTCGTCTACCCTGAGAGCTACCCTGAGAGCCTCAGAAATAGATTGTAATCCCCGAGACCATTTTCTGCAGAAGTAGCAAAGCCCACTATATTGTCGAGACCCAACTGTAGAGAGATAGCCCTGCTTGTGACTGATTCTTCGATAAATTGCAGATTGTACTTTGGTCTCTAATCGAGACAATCCTAAGAGCATTAGATTCCTTATACTAAGATCTTTTTTCATGCGCTCACTCATTCGGCTCACCATTGAAACTGTGGTAGGATTAGGGCTGGTAATGTCGGATAGAAACTCTCGGAGAGGAAAGATCCTTTCCACAAGCTTGGAGTAGTTGGCTTTGACATACATCGATCCAGAGTTATCCTGCGAAGCCTCCAGACACTACTCAATCTCCTCTCTCAAACAGAATTCTGATGGGAGGAAAGGGCTCTTCATCATGTTGATTTTATGTCAAAAAGCATGAAGACACGCCTTTGAAATTTTTTATGCACGAGAGGAGTGTTTGTCATATTTTCTGAAGATGTTCCGGGTTGTCAACAATATCTCGTTTATTGAGCACCTGACATGATCAGGCATAATGTATATTTCCATTCCAACCCTCTTGTTGAAATATCTACCTGTTCTTTAGAAACATGCGTTTTCAGACATTAGAGCGACACTAGAGCCTTACTATAAAGAGCTTGAGGAGGCCGTTGAAACTCGAAACATAAGCAAAGCTGTTGAACTTTATCATAGTCAAGGAGTAATTGTCAAGAAAGGCCAATATGTTGTATATGGAAAAGATGGTGAGTTGCTTGATCAGGCACTAGTAACTTAATCATTCGCTGCTATCCTGGGCCACTTAAAGCTCACCGAAGCCTCATCACTTCTAGAACTCTGAGCAAACACATCATTGCTCCACTTATTTTGAACCGTTGTTTTACCAGTCACTGCCTTTGCAATCTACTCTGGATAATACATAAAGCTTTTATCTACTCTCGATACTACGTAAAGCTTTTATCTTTATATAATTGTGTTTCATTTCTTTTGCCTTTGGTTTTGCGTGAGATAGATATAACACGTAGAGTGAATTGAAGAAGCTGACTTCACGCTTAAATTTTACTCGATGTATCACTTTTACGATGATTTTTGCCTTCAGGGATCACTAAGGACTACAAGGTTGTCTGGGAGAAGCTGGGTCGGCACACTTTACGGTAGGTGTTTGCTTGTTTTTGTTGCCTTCTTCCTGACTAATTTCAATAGATGCTATCGAGCTTAGGGTTCTTGATGGAATGTTCGGAAATTAGAAATATCAAGAACAGGGTCCCGTCAATTTAGGTTTGATAGAGGGCCTCATGTCCTTATACAAGTTTTTTTTCTTGACTGATAGCTTTTTTGCTTTTTATTCTGTTAGGAAGCAACTCGTACATGAAACTAACCCACCTTCCGAGGTTGGTGTCATTTTATATCGCGAAATAGAAGTTCCGGACTCTTGTCTTTTCGACACTTTTTGCTCTGCGCCAAGAGCGGTTGAGCCTTCGCCCATAAATTTCAATAATCGCTTTGTTGAGAATACACAGTACGTAAAACGATATCGATATCAATGAATAATCATCATGACTGTGAATTATGCAGAGAATATTAGTTTCTCAGGATCACATTTTATCTCTGTCCATCTATCTCTTTATTTCAGCTGAGCAACCAAAGTTATCAAGGGACCGACGACTACAAAATCGCTGAATTTGACTTTAAAATATTGAAAGAGCAGGTGCCAAAAACTGTTGAAGGAAGTATGCTCCATATCTGGAAGAAAGATGGCGAAAAGTTGCGTATTTATCATGAGCAGTTTGAAGTGAAGCGATACTATTAAGCACTGTCGTAAATAAATGAATTTGGTGATGGTCAACTGTGCATCATAACAAAAGTATCGCTTGCGTAAACATATTTTAAGTTTAGAATTTTGCTGACTTCCGTACTTCACGGGCTGCAAACGTCACCATGTTATGACATCTACCTTCCTAAGACAAGAGGAAATAAAAGTATAGTATTCACAACCACAATATGAAAATAGATTTGATTTGAATTGACATGTATTTAGAAGCAGAGGCTCGCATATGCATCGATAGCGCATTTGTTGGATAATTTTTCTGGCTGAAGAGCTCTTGTGACATTTATCCCAACCTGAAGGCGTTCTTCAAACGCTCAGCAGCGGAAATCATACAAAACTCGCGGAGAAGGCATAGCTGGTGCCATGTTTCCATTCCTAATCAAATTGCTACTACTAGTCCAGACTCTAGTCTTGCTGGCATTGTATTTGGTGAGTCTTTCTAACGTTGTCTTACACAACGTATTGCTAAATAAATAAATAAATAAATACCACTCTCATGAAGATGGAAGATGAAGTATTTTTCAAATCTTCAAATCCTGTCCTTTATCTCACTCAGGAACGAATCGAATAGAAAAGAATATCGAAGCGACCGATTCCTTTACTGGTTGCTTACAACACCTAACACAGCGGTTTTAAACATGTTTGATCGGTGTTGCCATCAAACAATGCTCTGGAAAATTTTAAATATACGATTAGAACGGTAGTATGCCCGGATAAAGGTAGACTATGTATCATGATGAAGGATGGAATCCAATATGAAAAGTGGAAGGAAGAGTGGCTATGCGTGAATACAAATCTAGTGAGTGCATTGGTCATTGCGTAGAATAGACAGTTGTAGAATCATTGCAAAAGGATAAAGAATTCTCAGAATAATACAACGACACTATAGGGCTTGTCCGCGAAGTCTCCGCCGATCTTCTAGTCATCTTTAGAATTGAAATTAAAATTAAAATTAAATTAAAATTTCTAGAAAAACGGATTCATTCATCAAACAATATATGTCCATACTGTTCAGTAATGATTCGTCATCTTTCTGTGAGTTTCATTGTTCCACTTCCATGGAGGCTTTTGGACTAAGAATCGAAAAATCCCCTCAGGTGCTTTTTGCAGTCATTCCGCCGATTGAACGATTTTCCATTTAGAGGTTTCTGCAGAAATCTATGTCCGGACTATATGGAGTTTGTGATAAGACATCTCACCCAAGCTCCAGCAATTTTTGACGAGTGGTCAAAAATACATTGGGTCTGGAGTTATCTTGTTGGAAGACAACCCCTTACAATTTGTCTCTTTTTGACGCTTACGTTCATCGCTGCCTCCAAATTGTCTAGCTAAGTACAGTACCTTTTCGAAGTCATAACTTGATCTTGACAGCTCATAATTATGATTCTTCTCCAACACCTCCAGCAACACAGCATAATCTTCCTCATCTAGATTATCACTTTTGAAGTGGTTTATGACAGCAAGCTGGACAGGCTCCACGGTTGTTTCCGCTTCTCGTTGTTGAGCACGTTCCAGTCTTCGTCATCCGTTTACATGAGTTTCGGAAACCGCTTAATTTTTGTTACATATGAGCAACAAGTCACACATGGAAGCGCTGTCCACAAAATTGCGCTCACTCAGTTCGTGAGGTTCCCCAACATCAAGGGGCTCAACAAATCCAATTTCCAGAAAGTTGTCTTCGATGGTTGTTTTCGAAACACCAAGCCTTTCTCTTATTTCACGAGTAGTGCTGTGCCAATTCTTTTCCACCCACTTTTGATTTTGTCGTTCTCGAGTAATGATAGCTCCCATGAGCTTTGCCAACATCGAGGGTAAATTCACCCCGTTCAAATTACGCGAACAACTACTGCACTGTATGTTCCCCCAATGCAATGTCCATTTGAGATATACCGGCGGTAAGCGAAGCGTTCCCGCAGTGGGCGGCACAGAAGATCGTAACTCAATTCAACGGAAAGGCCGAAAAAGAAAAAAAATAAACGAAGTGAGCAAGGCTTTACGCATGCTGGGCATAGATAAACATGTCGAGGCTTCTCCCACAACGGGCGCGGCGTGTATTCGAATGTTGCATCTTTTTTGAAAAATTAGTGACTCATTGGTCAGTTCAAAAACGTTCTAGAACGCGAGAAAAGAGCGGTTGGAGGTAAATCTTGGAAAGTATGTGGTTAAAGGCTATAGAAGAAATGTGCTCGATTTCCTGGAAGTGGCTGAGTTTGCACTAAGGTGGGCGGAGCTGAGATCGAAAAAACATAAATATTAAAAACATTTCAGAACGCGGAGAAGATGATTAAAGGTAGCTAAAAAAAGTGTCGACAAATTTTCATAGTTGGAGGTGGACGGTGTTATGTTCAACCACTAATAGTTTTGCTCAAATAAACATATCGATAAGGTGCTCTTAAAGCGGTCCCAGTGTTGGAACTAGAGAAAATTAGGTCGTTCTGATATATCAAATATAATATTACGCTGAGTGGCTCCACCGATGAATGGTCGTGGATAAATACAATGCACACGTTAGCGCGCATAGCCCAAGGAGAAGAATGCTGAAGAGTAAGAAAGAATGCTCTAAAGACAGGTTTGAAACTCTGAGTTTACCTTCGGCATGGAAAATATGTATGACCCCCGCAATTCAATGAAGTTCAGTTATGGACTTTTGTAGGAAGTAAGGAAGTGCCTGACCCTTGCTTACCTTTCGTAATCACAGGAATTCGACAATTTTTTCCATTCGTAGCCTGATGGAACTGAACTAGGAATTTTTCGCTTACTGCACCGCCTACCTCAGTATGAGAGCTCTTCAACCTTACAGTGCTCTGTTGATAACGCTCTCTGCCCATCCCCTATCATAAGCATGGCCAATCTTCTTGATGTGCTCCTTAGGATTACATTGAAACTGTGGTAGATAGACAGGCGGACAGAAAGACATACATGACATACTTGCATAATACATACATGTATTCTTACATACATACATACATACATACATACATACATACATACATACATACATACATACGTACATGTTCATTTCTGCGTTGATGTCCATCCACAATTATCTCACATAACATTCTACTTCAATTCTCTAAGTGATATTATGAAGTTATTCAACACTTGTTGATCTTAAACGAATGCTTCGTTCTGTCGAAAGTTTTTGTTTTTGGTTGGAGGCTCGTGATCTTTTTCTTGAATTCGTACCGTTACGGCGTGCGCCTTAGTCTTACAACCATTCAAACTCGGTGCTTCCTGCTTTTAAATGTTGTACTTCGAACTTGTTACGTAGCTTTATCGGTATTTCTGTCTGCACGGCTGAAGCGAGTTGTTAGTATGTCGAGCCCGAATGAAAGCCTGTCAGTGACCACTAACTTTCCGCCCTGGAAAGAATTGAGAAAGCCTTCATTTCCGTTCTATCCTAATAGATGGTTGTATCCAAAAAATTGATGTGTACTGGGCTTTCAGTGAGAAGAGGATGAAGATGCTCTTGTGTTGAATTCACTTTTTCTGGGCATAAGGTCCTGCGACTACAATCTAAACTTTAAAGCCTACCTTATTGCTCTTGTAATTCGTTGCTGAAGGTATGGGGAATTAATGTCGTTTCTTCAGGCGCAGATATCCAAGATACCCCCATGAACTACTGCCTCCTAAATCTATTCCCTCTACCCGACAAAGTGGAAAACATTTATACATTTTCTTGATCCGTTAATACAAATCGGGTTCCTCGTTGCATCGCTTGACATTCTCAGGTAATTTCTTCTCGTAGCCCCTATTTCCTTCGCTTTTTCTTTGCTTCAGTGGCGGCTGCTGTCTTGTGACCAGAGGGTACTTGCTGCACCGTCCCGTCTAATTTACATTACACTTCGCAACCAAGTCAATAATCATCCCATTTCATGGTCTAAAATTGAAGAAAATAGATCACTTACATCAGCGATACCCTATATAAACGAGAAAGGGAAGGAAGTTGCTGGAAAAGAATGATTCCTATAGGTAGCTGTAGTGCCAAATAAAGAAACAGATCAGAAAAAGATAGACACCAAAAATTTGTTCCTGCACTGAGTTGGTCAAGGAGACCTTTTTGAAATGTTCGAGTAGATCATGTTTACGTTCCATGAACCTATCACCATGGTGAAGATTTCAAAAAAAAAAGTCGAGTAAAGGAAGAGAAAGAACGAATAGCGATACGCTAATTGCAGAGGAAAAGCAATAACATTCAACTCTTCGAAACATTCACACTACTTCCACTGAAGGGATTAGAACTCTGATTCCTCCCAAGTTCGAAACAATCATATTCATGTTTCATGTTTAATGTGAATAAGCGTCTAACTTTGTCAAGAAATGGATACGGAGAACTGCACAAGTATTTAGTGTATCCGTGACCCAGTTTAATGTTCTAGCATCAAACTGGATAAAATATGTTTGTGTTTGTTGTGTGCCAGTGTTTTTGTCCGCATGAAAAAAAA